CAGTGTCATTTCTGGCCATCTAAAGGTACTTTTTCCACAATTATTTTCACTTGCGCAGCCCAAACCATGGTGGGACTGAGGTGGTTTTGGACTCACGGCTTTGAGGTAGGTAAGGTAAATATATCAAAGACAATGTTTTTAAGTTTTATTTTCTATGGTACATCACACATTAATTAGATCTCTGTGGTTGCCAAAATCGCTGATAAAAGATCATGAGAAATTGTTGGCAGTTCATTATGACTATAAAATGGTGATATGAATTGTACTATATAAAAGTGTCATTTCCGGCCATCTACAGGTATTATTTCCTCAAATGTTTGCACCTCAGCCCCAACTATAGTGTGTGAGGACTCACGAAATGTCCACCCACCTTCCAAACAGACCTGCTTCCTTGCACGCAACCCCTACTGCCAAATCCTACATCCGCCCCCACCATGCCCGTTCCCATGTTCCTATCTCACGTATTACCATAGTTTGGTAAGCCTATCATAGTTCCTAGTCATCGTAAATAAACATTTATAAAGAAATGCTTGCGTATTCATTGTGTTATTTATTTATTTTAACACTGTATACATTGTATTTAAAACCCTGTTTTTTCGAAGTGTTTCATTACACACAGGATAATATATAATCTTGATTAAGCGCAGCGGCACTTATTCAAGAGCGGCGCTTAGTGAAAAAAATCAGGTATGGTGCGGCGCTTATTCGAAATGGGCATTATTCAAGCATTTACGGTACATTACTGATAATAATGATGGTGGTGGTGGTGATGAGCTAGTGATGGTGGTAGTGGTATGAATTGTGATAATTTTGAGGATAATTGATGATGAAGATAATGAGGATAATGATGATAATCGCATGATGCGAGACGGTCTTGCATTTGCAAAAGTGATTTTGGTTGAAACATGAATTTTGCAGAAACACATACGCGTGATCATACAGTAATTTGTCACACATTTAGCACAGGTCTGTGCGAATTATCACCACTTCAGGGGAAAATGTATTTAAAATTAGAATAAATTGGTTTTATATTAAAAATATAAAAATGGTGATGCAGTAATTTGAGTCATCACAGTATTTACGTGAACACTCAATTCACTGACGCGTTACTAAAAACTGATCAGTGTGCTTATTCATTTTTTATTTGTTAAGTTATGAATTGTTTGTGTACATAGTTCGGGTGCTCAAATTAAACATAATGTACATTGAAACTAAAATTGTATGTGTCTTAACTAAAATATCAACAAACACTCCCTGAAATCGATTTAAAGCAGCTTAAAAATGATCAGATCTTCAGAGCGCCAGGGGCCCTTTCCCCCTGGACTCCGCCTCAGGACCCCGGAGGGGCGCTGTCCCCCTCCCCCAACAACTGCTGTAGTCACGCATTTCAAATCTCTCAGGTTGGTAACTATGGATGATGATGTAGATAATGATGATGATCAGGAGGATGATGATGATGCTGCTAATTGTGATGAGGTGATAATGATGATAATAATGAAAATCTACTATAAACCAGAGAAAATTAAATTGTTACAATTTGGGTACAATTGAAAGATAACATTGATCCCTTTGAATGAACAATTTAACTTTTTTGTGGTAATTTAATATTTTGTATGTATTTCTAGTTTACATAATTTTACCACATACAAGGGTGTCAGTTCTGCAATACAGAATACAGTATCAAACTGTTAATAATTGCTGTGAAGCAGCCAATTCATATTCTTGACAGCAATTTGACCTCTGAAAGGTCATTGTTTGTCAAAAAACGAGGGCCTAAGACGATTGAAAAGCGGAGTTTCCTTCTTTCGTTCTGCCGGGTAAAATCAATTATTTTAGGCGACGTTTGTAGACTAACCAACACATACCAACGTCTGCATGTCGCTCTAGCCTTATCCTACTCTGGGCCTAGACTAGCTAGGATGGTATAGGCCTAGCCTTGAAGGGACGAAGGTCCCAATGAAAAACAACGTCGCTCCTTGATAGGTAACATTGTCTATTTAACATCACAATAATTCATTATTAGACCTATAGTTGTTTTTTAAATTGTACTCCACAAATCTCAGACGATACCTCGCACAAACTCGAGTAACGTCTCGTATCTATTGTCGTCATGTCATGGCTCGCTGGCTCACACTTCCAATGTCTCGCACTTGTGATCAAATAACACGCTGGCTCGCACTTTGGCAACACTCTTTGCCAGTCAACTCGCCCCTAGAAAACCCGCACTTGGGAACTTGCCCCATAAAAAAATGTATAGACCATGCAGTCTTCAAAATAAAAATTGTAACCTTTGGTAATCAACTACATTTTCCACATACATAGAAATTTTTGAGACTTTATTATAAAAACCTAAACCATAATTCACCACTATAGACACTTTTGACAAAAACGAAAAATTACGACTTTGTTACCCAATGAGAAGTGTTCTAATATAGACAATGGATAGTGTCTCATATTATTTGTTATATTTTTATTATTCATTATTTTCACTTGACTCGCATAAATAATTTTGTTCAAAGAACATTTATATGCAGTTGTACTTCGCAGCACTTCACTTGCAATTTGCAATTTCTAGTTCTATATCATGCTCTATGAAAAAAAAATAATCTAAGTACAATGTGCAAATATTATCAACTTACTCTGAAATGGCTGTCGTCTTAGAGTGCCATATTTCAATTCAAAGAATTTGTTAATCTCAAATCAGATGGCCAAGTACCACTTATCAGAAGGTTCTCATGAAATATTTGGCCTGGCTGCAGAACTTCTACTTGAATAGACCAATCAAATAATGACTACAATAGATTAGCGCTGATCCAATAAAAATGAGCATAATTTGCATATTTTGATGATGTAATGATAAGCATTCTCAAATGACCAACCAATACCAAAGCACCAGTTGTGATCAAAATGAACTTGAATTGTGAATTGTGAACAATCAGTGATCATAACATGGATTATGTTCATGTAAACAATTTACAATCTAGGGGGTAGAAAGAGAGATCCTCACTCCCCAGTGGCATATCTAGGGGGTGCGATGTTCACCCCCTAAAAAAAAAATCACAGTCAAGTGATCACCTTATTTTGCGAATTAGCGCCCCTCAACTGATCATTGAGGCCCCCCCCCCACCACTTCACCTTACCCCCCAACATCAGCACCCCCATTTCAAGACTCTAGATACGCCACTGCCCCTCCCACATGGAAAGGTTTCGGACAGTTTTTCCCACATTTGCTTCAACTAGACAACTGAGGTCAAATCACGACTCTTTGGTGATTGGGTCTTAGTTAATAGATGTCATTCTATTGAATAAGGCTTTGAGCAAACATGCCAGAGACTTCTTATGTTCCTATTAAAATAATTAAATGTCACAAATGACATCATTTTAGCGACCTGTAGCGCCAAAATATTTTTGGTAGGACTTTATATTTTTCTTTTGTTTCGGTAAAACTACTCAAATCATATTAGTTTTGAGCTTATATAATTTTTCTCCAAAAATCTATTTGGGCCATTTCAAACGAAAAAAGTTTGCAGGTGCGAGAGAGAAAAAAAAGATTGAAGTCCAAAACAGCGAATTTCTTGTAATTTCCTGATGAAAACAACAGAAAAATGTGGCATAAAAAGGCTGAG